GAGAGAGAGAGAGAGAGAGAGAGAGAGAGAGAGAGAGAGAGAGAGAGAAGGTAGGGGGGAGTGTTCATGCGCCGCACCGTCTGTCCAATCATGTGCAAATCCCCCGCAAATAGCTACCTAGCGCAAACAGACACCGGCAGCATGGATGCGGGCATTAGAGCGAGCTCTGCTTTGGAGGGCGACGCCGCCCACGCCGCGCCCACCTTTGTTGTGGTGGGCCTGGGCTCGGCGGCTCGGCGGGGCGGAGCCGGCGGAGCGGTGTGGCCGCAGGCACGGTAGTGATTGAGGTGGTGGGGTGGTAGGGCGTCATCGCGTCATCTGGTCGCCTTTTCGAGGTGCGGGAGGAGCTATTGTGGGAGCTACACCTAAAATACAAGGCTCTTATTGAACCAAGTAAATATCCTTGGAACAAGTCATTTTACTTGACCTTTGGTAGGAACTTGACTTGTTGCAAGGATTTTTATTTGGTCCAAGAACCTCATTTTTTGGTTATGGTCCGTGTCAACCGTGACAATGATTAATTTGTAAGTATTTATTTTTAAATATACTGCCTTTATTTAAAGTGAATGGAGTAAGAGAGCAAGTCGAAAAGAGGCTCGCCTATCTGATACCGTTGTTCTATTATTCAGTCATTTATTCGATGTAATTGACTTCAAGGTCAAACAGTGACAGAGTTTATAATTGATTTTGTTTCACTTGATCTCCGAACACGTTTTATTCATGTTTTGTTTTCAAGCAACATTCGCGTGGAATTTAAAATTTGCTTGGTTTCCAGAATGTCGTCTTTACTGTCGTGTTGAAATACCTGAACAAACAGCAGTCGAGCTTAGCTCGAGCTGAAAGTGGTGCTTTGAATGAAAAAAAGAAACAACAAAAACAAACAAACAACCTCCAACGTAAATAAGGATTTTTCTATTTAAAAAAACCCATATCTTGTTTTATTCCATTTTCTCGTTCTGTGCCGTTTTACGCGTTCTTTCCCTCCCTCTATTTTTTGCCGACGGTAGCCGCGCGAGCAGTATGGACACTGGCTGCTAACGGCTCTGAAAAGGCAATTATCGGATAAAGGCCGGCACATCAGCACCCCCTCCCCCGCCTCCAGTTCTCACGCGTGATTTTTGTTTGTCTTCTGATCATCATTTGATCGAAAGGAAAGCGTAGGAAATTTGTGCTACCTTGTACTGCTGTGTGGGTTAGAAAAAAGCGACCAAGACTTTAAAAAATAACCGAAAAGTAAACTTAATTGCCCTGATGTAGGTGTAAATAAAGTTAGCCGGTGCTACGCCATCAACGTTATCTTTATTCAGCCATCCGAGTAGTGCGATTAAAAATATCGACAAAACAATTTTTTCACCTGTGCGATAGTTGCGTTCATGGCAGAAAAGCAGCCAGCCAGCCGTCCCCGCCTGCACTCTCTGCCAAAGTGTGTAGAAGTAAAGGTCCCCCCTCATTCTTCCTCCCAACCTCCCTCGTCTCATCATAAAACTTAACAACTTTAATGGCGTTAAATTACAACCATTTTCTGACAGTGTTTCTTCCCTCCTAGTTTAGTATGCCCCAAATGCCCGGCCACCGGCACGGAAGCAAGAGCAGGCGGCCAAAAAGTTTGGAGCTGCGAAGCTTTGCTTTGGAGCCCGACTACCGTGGCGCTGCGAGGCCTCAGGCCCCTCAGGCAGCTCCGATGCCGCCACCAAAGGCCAGACTTGCAGGATACGGGATACGGTGCACCATCGCGTCTTCCGCCTCCCCTCCTCAAAAACAAAAATAACGTAAAATAATGAGGGCGCCGTTTCAGAGCAAACATTACACACATGTACCGTACAGTATCAGTGA